ATGAGCTGTTGCTCAAGCTGTATGTCCTCGGCATCGCCGAGGTAGCCAGCATCGCGAGAAATCAGGTCGAAACCAGCACGAATCGCTTTTTGCGCCCGTGAGAAGGCGTGATGTGGAGCATGGCGGTTCTGATGAGCTCATCTCACAGCTGGGGCGAAGGGGTTTCGCAGGATAATTTTGGTTCTGTGATACACCCGATGGTTCTGAAGAAAAACGCCAATTCTCATTTTTGGGTACGTTCCCATTTTTCCCGCAAGTCTGTTGCTCCCTGGTTCTTTACGCTAGTAACTAGCCACTAAGTGGGCATTCACACGCCGGATGTGACCACAAAACCAAACGGACAAAAAACCAACGAAAAATACAACAGGGGGAAACCCGGCCTCCGGGTCAAAACCCCCACCAATATTCACCGTTCCATCAAACGCCCTATCCCAACGCTTGGCAAGCAGTAAAAATGCAAGACTATCCTGAGGAGTTGGTTCAAACAACTACAATGCGGCTGCACTACTGTTTGTTCTTCAAACAAACATCAGACAAACATCGAAATCGCCCCCCCTCGCTGATGAAATACAGCGCACCGGGGCGGAAGGCAATCATCCAACATTTTCTGAGCGACACATAACCGGCATGCATTTTTTCGGCAATCCTCTATTCTCGTGGAGTACAACACTGGTGTCCCAATTTTCCCTCCTACGTTCCTTCAGCGGTTCCAACAGTATCCCATCTTCCTGCACATTGCGCAACCTAGCGAATGGCATCACGTACCCGCAATCAATGAGGGTCTCAACCGAATGGGTATAAGGAAATACTTAACATGTCGGCGCGAACGCCTACGAGAAACACGGAACATCCTCCCTGGCTCTTCAACCAAAGTACCTTCATGACAACTCACGAGGATTTCCCAACTTCGCTACGAATATCATCAAACACCAAATACCGTCAAGAAAGAAGTGCCACAATCCAGCGCTGTGATGCGTGTTCCTCCCCTCCCAGCGCTCGTCCCGGCCTGTAGCCTCGCCACAAAAGGAATTCCCGTTTTAGCACCACGATGCAAGTACCCTACCCCCACGCGCCTTCCGACGTGCCGTGGGGTTCCCGCTCTCGCCCCTTCCGATGCGCCACGGGGCTGCTTCGATTTTCTCTCCCCCTCACGCTCCGTACGACGCGCCATGGGGCTAATGTTTGCCTCCCCTCCACACCCTCCCGACGCGCTATGGAGCTGCATTGATTGTCGCCCTCCCGCGCCCTCCCGTCGCAGCTGCGAGCACACGGCCCTCCCGCCGTGTTATTTGGTTGTTGCCCTCCCGCGCCCCTCCCGTCGCGGCTGCGAGCACACGGCCCTACCGCCGTGTTATTTGGTTGTTGCCCTCCCGCGCCCCTCCCGTCGCGGCTGCGAGCACACGGCCCTACCGCCGTGTTATTTAGTTGTTGCCCTCCCGCGCCCCTCCCGTCGCGGCTGTGGGCACACGGCCCTACCGCCGTGTTATTTGGTTGTTGCCCTCCCGCGCCCCTCCCGTCGCGGCTGCGAGCACACTGCCCTACCGCCGTGTTATTTAGTTGTTGCCCTCCCGCGCCCCTCCCGTCGCGGCTGTGGACACACGGCCCTACCGCCGTGTTCTCTGAATGTTGCCCCCCCACGCCGCTCCCGTCGCGGCTATGGGCGCACGGCCATCTCGCCGTATCCTTCTCAATATTGCCCCCCCCACGCCCCTTCCGTCGCGGCCATGGGGCACACGGCATTGAGCCGGTTTTCTATGTCTCCACCCTTCCACGCTGCTGCAATGGTGCCATGTTCTCCATCTCCTGCTGCTGCTGCTGTGTGTGGATGGTGCGCGCGCAGTGACCTGCGCAGCTATTGTGTCTTTCCCCCGCCTCTTCTTACAAGGCCTCACGTGCTACATCTAGCTTCACCTGGTTGTTTTGATGGCGCACCGACGGCGTCGCGGGGATGCATGCTGCCCCAGCTCTCTAGACGTAAGCATTTTCCCGCGGTCAACAGGCACACTTGGTGTGCCGTCTGCGGCACCCCCTCCAGCGCCTCACAGCTGTTCTCGACGTGATGAGTACGTTGCTCTGACTCTTCGGCCAGTGCCTCGAGCGGCGACTGCATCTCTACCAGCGCTGCCTGTCTTGTAGAGGTATTCGGTGTTCTGGAATCTACCAAACCCACCGTTAGCAAGGACCTGAAATGCCCACGCCGGTTTGCCTTCCGCAACCGGCCTTCTGCTGGTGATCTCTTCTGCGCCCGTGTAGTCTATGCAAGCGCCCACCGCTGCAAGCTGCTCTTGGGATGATGACCCCCTGACGTCCCCGCTGCCCGGTCCTATGCCCGGGTCCACTCCAGCAGGAATCCTTGGCACTACCAGACTGGCTCACGGTCTGGTGCTTCTTCCCCCGTGCTGTGCAGGCGGCGTGATTCCGTCATTGTGCGCCCCCTCTTCCAGCAGTCCGCGGGCAGACGTAGCGCCCGTAACGACAGCGCCCGCCACAGCACCGCCGGACTCCCCCTCCTTCATTAACTTTCCGAGGACGGCTCGGAGAGGCCATGCCAGCTGCTGTACCTCGTCCGTCAGGCCTGAAACTTTGCTCTCCTGGTTGTCAACTCTGCCCTGCGTACTAGTGGTGACGTCGGCAGCCTCTGCTGCAACATCGGCGCCACTCATCCCCAGCACGGGTTCCCTCGAGGGATACACTCTAGAGTGTTACTATACCCATGTATGTGTGTTGAAGATGATGGTATCACTTGTATTTAGGACAGCAGACACGATCAGGACGCGGCGGGAGAGAAAGAGAGTGCCACGACACAGCAAGCACTCCCNGACCATCATCGTTGAGGTGTTCGGGGAGTTCGGGCTAACGGTGTCGGAGAAGAAGACGGAGACGCTCCTGATGCGCACGGAGGACAAGCCGACTACAACAACACAGCCCCCCCCGCCTCCACCGCTGACCATCGAAGCCGCGGGACAGAAATACGCCCAGACGACCGAGTTCCAGTACCTCGGTGGCCTCGTCAACGAACATGGCGACCTCACCCGGGAGATCAACTACAGGAGCAGAGGAGCGTGGGCGTGCCTCAGGCGATATGGCCAGGAGCTCTTCGACAGACCGCAAGCGCCATTCCGACTCAAGATCCGCCTGCTCCAGGCGGAGGCGATGGAGGCGCTGCTGTACGGTTGCATGACATGGTCACCACTCAGCGGCCACTATCAGACGCTGCGGTCGATACACCACCCACTGCTACTTCGAGTTATCGGGTACAAGCGCAAGAAAGACACCTACCGGAAGCTCTCTTACGCCCAGACGCTCAAGAGGGTCGAATGTCAGAGCGTTGAAGCCACGATCCGACATGGACGCCTACTGTTCGCGGGAGCATTGGCAAGGCAGCCGGACGGGCGACTCCCGAAACGA